AAGAGCAAGACAAGTTTTGGGGTTGTTTCTTGTATTTTGTCCTTTGCATTCTTTGTAATTAGGTTTTTTGTTATCTTTTTATTAGCACCAGTTCATTAGTCGTTATCTGTAATTACGTAATCATTAGCAAATTCGATCCTATTTAATGCTCTTTTTTCATTTCAAAAGTTGTAAATAACTGAAGAAGGTCTCTGACCGAAACGTTTTTTATAAAATTTTTTATATTTTTACGTCAGAAGTTGTCCATCCTCGCAATTTACTGATGAGGCCCAGAAGGCCGAAACAGTACTGTCTGCAGTTAGTTATATATATTTATATATACATAAGTTAAAGAATTAAAGAGGACTTATCGATTCTCTGTTACTCTGAGTTTCACGCCTAAGCGCTCATCAGACAGAACTTTATTCATATATATCAAAGGACATATACATATCCCAGATATCATAATATCGTGTCTGACAAGATCCAGTTGAAATTGAAGGGCGGCATTTTTGAGTTAGACAACAACCGGCTTTCCAATACCCGTGGTTCGGGATAATATTATGTATTTAGGCTTTCTGATTTGTTCAATTGATCTGAATGTCGGCCATACGGCAATTTACATCTTAAGTACTTCAAATGACGACAAATTTCCGAACAGTTTTCGATTTTCTTTTTTTCCTCACTGATAATCCACAAAACGCTCAGTGTGTGTAAACGAGGGGGGAGTGTAAAACGGTAAAATGTTTTCAATAGATTTTCCGAGTTTAGTTTGATTTTATTGCATTTTTTTATTTCTTGTTTTTTTTTTTCTCTTTCATGCGACGAAAACTGGGTGCTTACTCATTTTTTTTTCGCAATTGTGTTGATCTTTAAGTGTGGTCGTTGTAATCTTTGTGTTGCTGTCGTTCGAGTTTACTGATTAAAAAAAGAAAACAAGCGCCACTTATTTTTAGAAATTTTGTTCAAAATAATATCTAGGCAATTTGTTACAGCTACCTAGTTTCCCTCGATTCAGTTCATGTGCTCTAAGTTTCATGTTCACAACCTCAACTGGCCAAAGGCCAAGTTGCATTTTTCTGCCAACTCTTCACCGTAGAAAACCTGCTTTCAGGCTGAACTTTCCAACAGGTCACGCCATTTCCTGGGAGTGACAATGAAGCATGTCGTTAAACGCAGTTAAGATTCATGGTGAGACGTGAGCTACATGTTGTGATATGAGAGCTCCTCAAAATTCTTTTCAATTTTGGCATATTTGCAGATTGAAGAGTGCTGTCGATCACGAGGTCTTTAAACATCTGTATGTTACGCTGTAATTACAGCTAATTTAGGCAGTCACAAACTTTGATGCTCGCCAAACCTATTTTTTCCGGCGTCAAAAGAAAGCATGCTTAAATCTTGGTCAAAGGGAGAATACCTGATATTACGTGATTAAAACAAATTAACTCCATTTCACAAATTGGCGCGGCGGAAGATGTAAGAGTTTACTCTCGAGCGCTCGAAAGCCCGCGAGATAAATTTTTGGTTATGACCGGAAAATGACTCACTTTAGCCAAAAAAACGCATAAGTAATTATCATCTGCGACCTTAGCGACTGTAAACTGCCGTTCAGTCACTTACTGATTGATCAAATTCACACAGGGCGAGGCTACGAATTAATTTTCAACCCCAGAAGAGATCTGGAATAGAATATACTTAGAACACAGTGAAGTTAAAAAAAAAAACTGATGAGTTTATGGGTCAGGCAAATTACTCTTGGACAGAACCACAACGGTGAACGAAAAAAAAAGAAAAACTTTATCACAGTGAAAGCAATTCGATGCGAGATGAAAGTTAGCAGCGTAAGTAAATGAAGGGAGCTTCTGATTGTTGTGAATGAAGTTCCTGCGAATTGTTATATTAAGTGGCAGGATGCCATCTCGAGACTGACACATGAAAAGAACCGTTATTCAGTCATGCTCGATAATCCATCTCGTCCCCAGGATATGCCGAACATAGCTTATCATCCTCTTTAAAAAGAGAAGAGGTAACCCTGGGAATTAGCCAGCTTAAGGCGATTATCGCTTGTTTAATTCTGATATAATTAGTCAAAAAGCTCATGATTATAACTGAGTTCTTAATACAGGATCTCTGAACCGATGTAAGACTTACTTGCTATGAGAATATCGAGAGAAATCATTCCATCACAGCCAATTCCAGCGATAAAGAAAAAATAAACAAAAAAATCAATCAACCCAGAGAGCTACGAAGTCAAGTGCAGCAAACTTTAAGTAGGTTGGAAAACCACAAATGCCACTGTCAGAGAAAAGTAGAGAGACTGTTTATCATAAGCTGTTTAGTCATAAACAAGCGCTTCTCGCGATTCTTGGAAACGTGTTGGAATGTGATCCACCGGAATGGTGGAGGAGCTTGTTAAGAAACTCTTTCATTTCGAAACGGAATCGAAATTAGGCTCATAAAAATCGAATAAAAAAGAATCAGGCTGAAGAAAGAGTTGTTAAGAATCAACTAAATATTTTTATGATAAAAAAACTAAGGGAAGCCGATAAAAAATGATCAGGCGAAGTACCTGGCTAATATCGTGGAAACAAGGCCATTTGTGTTACTGGAGCATCAAACGCAGAAAAAAGGCCGTTTGTCGTGGCTAAGCGTGTTTTAGCTCAACGTTGCTCTGAAAATGACTTTCTGGCTCAATTTCCTGTTTACTTTTCGAGGAAGATTTTATTCTATTCATATTTCCTAAAAAAACTGAAGTAAATTTTATAAATGATTTAGTTAGATTAAGATATTGTGTTCGGGTTAGTCTAACCGTTAACCGTGAAGATTAAGGTTATGAACTGAGCTACTCCCCCTGGGTAATACACGGCATTGAAATTTAAAATTGACAAGCATTTTCCTTGAATTTGTTTCCCGATTCCTCTCTTAACCCTAAGTAAATTATAAGTTGAATTCATAAGGGAAAATTAGGCTAAAAGAGGTGTATGTGTAATCCACTGACAAATCAGCCGGTCATGCAAGATTAAACGCTTTTTTTTTTTGCTTAAGGTCAGCTAATGCTAAGATCAAATTTGGTTATTTTTATCGTTATGGTATTCCTGTAATGTAGTTGAGAAACGTGAGGCTTAAATTTGGCGCAAAATATCACAATACGTGTTTACAGCTATAGGCAAATAATCTGAACCATTTAAATGTTACGATCGCAACAGCATAAACCCCACTTTTTAAAAATGCGTGAGAAATATAGATACAAGACACTTTGAGTTAACCACCCTTATAATCTGAGCTTAATGGGGGGTCATGAACCTTAAAGAGGTTTCAAAAACAACTTAAAGATATCACCTTCTACCTACGATTTTCATCTCAGTGCGAGCGACCCTTTACCGCATTCTTTTAATGCCAGAACTGTCTGTCAGTGCCTCGGCCATCCGCTGCTGCTTGAAGGATTTGTCATTTTCAATGAGGAGTCAATGTCTAAGGAACGGATCCGTGACACTGACAACGAAAAACTCAAAACAGAAAGGCATTCGTTGTTCTATATCAAGACATCACTGTATTATGTTTATTTCTGTCTAGTTGTTTGCTTAATGAATTACTTAATAATAGATTGTCAGTAAACATCAAACATAACCGCTGTGCGGAAACACGACACCAAACTTAACCTCCTCTCACAACACGTAAAACGAATATTTTAATCTGCAAGGTACACAGTAATATATAATGCATTCCTTGTGGTCAAAGATCGTGCGTTGTGCGGAATTCGAAAGTAGTTGCTAGGATGCGGAATATTCCCCGACGTTTTCTGCCAAGGGAAACCAAAATTCCGCCGCCTCGTTCTCAGCGGAAACTCGTTATAAAAACGTCTAGCTTGACCTCACACATTACAAACAGTGTACGTTTACAAAGGCTTGCGAGCGACTTCCCTTTGCAATATCGTGGTCTGTTTCAAGGAGTCGCTTTTTCCAGCGACCATACGGTAGGTTGAGGGAAAATTGTCAATCTAGTTGATATTCACCTCTTAATTAGACAGGTAGTGGTGGGAACCAGATGCTGACAGAATAGGATATTAATTGAAAGATTTGACATTCTTAGAAAATCAAATATGCCCATTATCTTAGGGCTAGTTTGTCCGCCTTCGCGATAGCGGCATTGAGTGATCGAAAGTTCGAGCGTGATATGCGCACGTGGCCCACTGAGACAGTTTCTCTTCTAACAGATACCATGTACCTTTAATATTCTTGAGCCTAGTTAATCTCTCCTTTCGTAATCTTCGTTTTCTAGGTAATTGTTGGCGTTCTCGCTAATCAAAGATTAGTGTCAGCGGAGTACTCCCCACGCAATCTTTCTATCAGAAATGTTTGAAGTGCTCGAGTGGCTCTCTGCATCTTGGTCGCCGCTCTCCTTCCTGTTGTCTGTGTTTGTAATCGCAGTCTTTAGTATCACAGCTGCTTTCATCTTTGTTCTGGGAAGAGCCTACACTCATGTCCGTAACTTTGATGGTCCACCATGTCATTTAATCAAAGGACATTTGGAACAGGTAAGATTTAATAAACCATGTCCCACTACATTTGGTCTTTGACATTCGCTTTAATACATTGCCGCTTTGCTCATATAGATATAAAGACATTTATTGTAAATAACTTGTTTCACCTTGCACTTCACCATGAAGAGGACACAAAGTGGGATGGCAACTTAAGCTCATGTCCGATACGCTCATAATTTTGAAAATTCTCCATTTTAAGCTTCCTGCAGGGTGAATCAGGCAATTCTTTATGAGAGTCACCTCGGACTATTACTCTTTGAAATCAACGAGAGATTAAGTCTTACGAGCTATGTGATCCATTACGTTCCAAGCTGATCCCGGTTTCTATAGCCGGCACAAGGCACCTAAGAAAAACGCTTTTGCTAACGTTCTTGGACGATTTTTCACAATTAGTGAGTTGGAGAACCGCGAAAACGGGATTTAACACAGTCTAGCCGAGGCTGCCAAGCTCACAGACTTTTTAAGTCATCAAACTTTGTATTTGAAATAGTACGATAAAAGGCAATGAGGAAGTCATCAGATCTACTGCTAAATCATAGGAGCTTTAACCTTACATACATACACTTACATACATACACTTACATACATACACCTTTTTGGGAAAATGTACGTTTTCTTTTAAATTCCGGAAATATCTCGTTTTCATATAGTTGGGGAAACAATAAAATCAAATGAATCTAATCTGTACTAAAGCAGCAAAATCCAATGAATCTTATTTGGTTATAAGCTCCAGCTCGTGTATCTTTCCTCGTTCCAAGAGTTAAACAAAGTATTTCCGGTTTCCTTTGATGAGAACGTTAAATTGGGTCCGGACTCGTTTACTGAGTTACCGCAATGCCCTTCGGCAACGAACCACAAAAATACATCTAATATAACATTTTCCGCCTGTCGCAACCTTTTGAAAGTCAAAGCAATCGATAAGGAGGTGCTGTTTGCTTACTGGTGTTTGTTTACGCGTGAAAATTGGCGACTGTCAAATACAGACCAGATGCAAAATAACACTCACTTATTTCAGGGCGCTGTTTTCCAAATAGACTTGCTCACAAGTCAGTCGCGCTTTTGAGCGCGTAGCGCGAGCCGAGCTGAGCGAGCGATAGCGAGTTCGTGCGAGTCTTACCACACCAGAACAGAAAACCAAGCAAACGACTTTGAGAAAGTCTATTTTCCAAATGGACCCTTCTTAACAATTAGAAAGTCAATCCATCGTATCTGAATGTTTTATATGGTTGTGATAGCCTATTGGTTGCTTGCAGTACTGAGAAAATATTATGTTTGAAACGCTGGAGGATTTTGTTGCACCGTGCACTATTTGACCTCAACTCGTGTTATATATTGCGAATTAGGTCTCAAAACAGGAACTGGGTGCCACATCAGATTTTTTAACACAATACCAAAGTAAGTTGGATTGAAAAGGGAGGGACACATAAATGCGTAATTACCCTTTAATTCGTTCTACTGTCTCGAAACCATAACAACTGCTTTCTGTACGAAAATAAGCGGGCTGGAAATAATTAAAGCTTGAATAATCAGTTAGGGCATGATCTTATAGCATCCTTTTTAAGCCTTTAAGTTCAAGGAAAGAGCTTCCTTTTTCCTGGTGAGAACTATGTGGATCTTCAAAAGGATGTGTAAAGATTTGTCTTGGATCCACAAAGGTTTATTCACTTTGATCCTTAAAGGCGCATACTCTTAGTATTAGAAAGCTCTTCGCGTTCAAGAATCAAAGATCTTGTCTAGACTTTGCATCAAGTGGCAAACCACAGCACTGAAAGAAACTCTTGACTTTTCATGAAAGAAAACACATCTCGTTTACAAAGCGGTTGTGGTTTAGAGTTATTATTCTTGTCATGTTCATACGTCATCACACCTTGTAATCGCATACTTGTGGACTGATATATGAGTAAGTGATGTATGTCACCGTCGATAAGAGATCAGCTAAAGAGAATGGTTTGTTTAATGTGTCAGCCGCTTCGGTGCTCACATGCTTAAAATTAGGGAACAGACACAAAGAGTTTATGAGCAGGTGGCTCCGTTGTGACGATCAGGGGTTTGAGTGATTATCACTTAAGGCGTTGTTCTTCTGTAGTATCAATATAATAGAGTATTTATAAACTTCCAAACATGAATGACTTGTAATTAAAATTGTGTCAGTTACTTAATCCTGTTGATTTCAGTGATTAGTTTGTGTATTTCATAAGATGCACGCTAAGGGGCTACATTAGTTTTCATTAGAGCTTAACAGTCGGACTGATATTGTGTCTACTTAGCTTGTTTTCTTCAAGCTTATACTCTTAGAAACCTCACAATTTAGGGTCGTGGCAAATAAATCCTTGACCACCCAGAGTGTCTACATCACCTCAAGGCACACACCCTAAACCAAACATATTTCTTCGCTTAAAGCAAAGACATGTTAGTCACAAAAAAGAATTAATAGGTCATATGGTAACAGTTGTTTTTAAAATTACGCTATGTGTTTACCGCAGGCTACATTTGATGGTCAAGGGCTTCGTTTTCACCAAAAGTGTACAGAGCTTTACAAGACAGCTTATCGTATTTGGTTTGGACCTCTCAAATCAGCGGTCGTTCTCTGTCACCCTGATGCTGTGAAACCGTTGCTGAGGACCACCTTCAAAGACCGAACTGTCAGCCACTTATTGGCTGCTTTTCTGGGTATGTGAATCCCCAATGTCTATGCTTAAAATCATAAGTAAACGAACCAGTTTGACGCAATGGCTGTCAAATCTTATTAATAAAGTCCTAAATTGTTAACGTTTTTAAATTCAGTTTTTGTTATTGTTCAATTCTCAGCTTTTCTTTCAAAATCAAACTAAATGCAATCATTCTCCCAGATGAGCAGCGATTTTTAATCAGATTTCTCCAAGGAAAATAACAACCCTCCAAAATATTCCTCGTTTCCAATGCGTGCATGGCTTTGTATCTCAGTTAGTAGTAGAGGCAAACTAGTAACTGGGAAGCCTGGTTCGAAAACCTTCGAAGCCTCATTTGTTTTTGAGGATTGTTTTTTGCAACTGCAAAATCGCAGCTCACCTGCAAATATCATTGTGTTGTTCGATTTAGTGGGGGAATTAATTACGAGCTGAATTATTACAATGGAAGAGCACTGAACAGTCTTTTCCATCACTGATATACGGTTATGTATCTGTAGTGTGTAATCGTTTACCTTTTTGAAATTTTTTTCTCTTTTTTTTTAACTTCATTTGGATATTTGTGAACCTTTAGGTGTTGGTCTTGGTCTTCAAGAGGGAGAGAGATGGAAAAATACGCGGAGACTTTTGACCCCTGCATTTCACTTCGAAACTATCCAACCATACATCAAAATTTTCCAAGAATCTGCGGACGTTTTATTGGTAAATACATAATTTGTATGTGATGGTAAAGGTATTGGAGATAGCTATTGCTCCTATTGTTTCGAGAAAGATCGGGCAGATTGGTTGAACATTTATGCATGACAGCCAACAACTGCGGTGAGTCCATTAAGTATAAATGCTCCATGTTAGGAAAAGGAGTAATCTCGATTCCGATGGAGTTAAGGAAACCTCGATCAACCAGCGTGTTACAACCCCGAAGTCTTTGGGTGTTTCCCAAAAATGAATTTAAAAGAAGGATGAAGATAGATAAAAACAACAACAAACGTGAGTGAGGACGTTTTACAGCTTCCACTACAATATAAACCCTTTAGTGAGTATATATTATAAATCCAAAGTTTTATTTATAGGATTTCATACCTCTGACAACATTTATATTCACTCGATTTGGTTTTTTTTTTCCAGGCTAAATGGGCATCTTCCCCGAACAGTGAAGTGGAGCTCTTTCATGATATAGAATTGTTGACCTTTGACTCCATCTTGAAATGCGCCTTCAGTTACTGGAGTGACTGTCAAGTGAAAAGATAATTTGCCTCATTGTTTATTATTTAATTTTTCATCTTACTTCTCATGAATAGATGCGCTGCGTTAGGCATCGTAATGCCTAATTGTGAACGCGCTTTACTTGAGAAAGTGGGGTTTGGGTTTTTTCATCTCCTCGAATCAGGAGTAATAAAGAATCGCAACTTATTGTCAGGGAAACCAGACTATCGGAGTTGATCTTTGATATAACGAAGATGATCTTTGATATACCGGCATTCATTACGGGAGGAGTAGCAACGCAACTGATCTCGTCGTGGCTAGTTAGTAATTGAGTTTGCAGATGAATGTGGTAGCTACATTGCAACCACCTAGCGCCAGCCCCCCACACCCTTTTCTTTTCGAAATTTTTTCAAATAAAGAACGTGTTGTTTCGATAAAAGAGAAGTCATCGAGCAGATCTTTATTCTTTGAATCAAGTGCATAGAAATTGAACTAAACTGGCTTAGAAGAACTTATCTAAAATCAGCTTTGCTGATTTTAACGGGAACGAGACTTAAGTTAAAGGCACGTTTTAAAGCTCAATTGTTTCTATATGTTATCAGCTTCATGTTTCCTCAAAGACAAGGCGCGTGGATGTTTTCAAATGAAAGTATACACTGGGAATTGGGATGGTCGGAAACCCCGCCAAAATTGGAGTCTTAAGTGCACGTGAAAAATTTTGTCGCATTCCGAGAAGAATAGTGCTGTCAGATTCGTGAATGCTCTCGAGGGAGATCAGAGTTGTGGTTTATGATAAGGTAATAATTGCCTCGCTCTGTAGGGCTCCCCTTCTATATCTTGAAGTATTTGCATAGTAAGCACAATGTTCATTTAGTCATAAAGCAGATATTTATCTCTCATATCATCCTTTTCCTCAGCACACCTGACTCCTTCATGAGAGCGGTTCAAGAAAATACTCAAGCGATTATGGATCGGTTTCGGTAACAAAGATTTATCGTCATTATCATTATCATTATCATCATTGCTACTTTTTTAAATTTATTCATCTTTTTTTTAAGCGACCATTTTTCATGTTTTGCCCTCAAAAGACTTCCAACAGATTCTCGAAAAAAATATGAAAGAATTTCTCAGATTTGGTCATGAATACACCAGTAAAGTCTGAGGTATACCTTTTTGGAATCAAAATAGCTGTCTTATTTTTCAGTCTGGAAACGGTTCTTTACAAAGTTTTTGTGTCATGGGAAAATTAAAACGTTTTGCTTACAACTGTTGACAACTGTTACCAACAATTTTAATTACCAGTAAGAGAGAAAAGTTATCAAAGAGCTGATAGACTCTTTCTTTTAATCAGGAGACCTCTGCACCATTCGGATTTTGTTTACAACCTGACTTCTGCGGGAAGAAAGTTCAAAAAGAATACTGAGATTGTTGGTCGCAAGGCAGATGAAATTATCAAGAAAAGAAGGCAGGCTCTGATGGAACGGGTAATTAATAGGTGGATCATTTAGCGAGAGCCACACATCGTCAGGCCCTTTTACTACATTATATGCATGCCTTGCGACAATTCCTTCATACATTTCTGATGCTAACAGCATCATGCATACTTGGACCAGTCCTAACCAGTTCAAACTAATTAACAAATGGTAAACACCACAGCGTACACTATTGAGTTATGGATGCACGCGGGAGGTTGCTAAGCACGAAAGAAGTGTAAGAGTCGTTCGAGGCGATAGCCGAGAGCGACTCTAGCTTCTTGAGTGCTTAGCAAACCTCCCAAGTGCATCCATAACTCAATAGTGTACGCTGTGGTGTTTACCATTTGTTTTATAACATAACATTGATACATTGTAGCTAAAGAGTTCCCTTTTATTCAACAAATCTTACGTGACCAGAAAAAACAAGCGCGCGCGGAAAAATAGTATTTGCATTTGCTCACGTCAGCAGCGTACACTCATGGGAAAATGGGGGACGCTAAATTGACCAATCAGAGCGCGCACTTTGCTTTGGTTATGTTATAAAAGAAGATCGAGCGAAGAGACTAATCCTCCCAGCATATCTACCTAAGTCGTCTTTAGAATCACTTTTAGAACTATTTCCGAGGATCCTATGAGGAGCCAGATATATCCATTCTGCTTCAAATATTTTTCTCCTTTGCACATCCCAGTTTGCTTCAGCAAGAAACTCATCATGCACAGATATAAAAGGGTCTCCGTAGCTCGGTCGTTCTGTGTATGTGCATATGTGCATGACAGATTCCTCGACATCATAACTAATAAAACCTTCCATTTTTAGCCAGAAGAAGAGGCTTTGAGAAGACAAGAGCATTTTGACTTTCTCGACATTCTTCTTGAAGCTAGGGTATGATTGTATTACACTACGCCTCCATAGAGCGTTGAGATACCTTTTATTTCGCAACTTCAAATAGCGGATGAAATTCTTTAAAAACTATTATAGCTAGCTCTATAACTGCATTTTATCTCTCGTGATAAGTTACATGATACCACAATTATATCATCATATATTCATCTTTTTTTATTATTATTATTTTAGCGTGATGATGGACAGGGTTTAACAGATGAAGAGATTCGAGCTGAAGTTAGAACGTTCATGTTTGCCGGACTTGAGACAGTGACAAGCGGTAAATGCTACTTTCAATATGTTGATCGACGCAGGATCTCTCGTTCTCTTTCTTTCAAGTAGGAGATATAATCATTGGACGATAAATTTGCTTCTGTATCCCTTAAAAATGATTTAATTAGATCGTGATCATGACCGTACAGTGAGTCAATAGTGGAAAAAAAATTGAGACCTAATCCTTTTGTGGTTAGTGCATAGGTTGGAGTTTATGTTTTATCCTGTTTGGTTTTGTTTCGAACTAATTATCAATGGGTTAATGAAACTGAAACCAAAATTGAGAGAAATGAACCACGAGATATTTCTAAATACGCTGAGTTATTTAGGTGATAATATCATGTGCCTTGTACCTTCAGCAATTAGCTGGATCCTGTATTGTTTAGCCCTCCACCCGGAGCACCAGCGGAAATGCCGGCAAGAAATTGATTTACTTTTTGAAAATGGAAATGATTTACATCGGTGAGTTCCAAAAGGAAAAAATATCATTATACTTACTAATTCATCTCAACAGCTTAGGACAAGTGCATGGATCTGTCATGTAAGGCGTTCATCACGCATGCGAGGCCATTGTATTGGATATTCTAGGCTATTAAGCAGACAAATCGTGTAACTGTTGAAAAAAAACTAACAAAAACCTGAAGATAAAGGTGTATTTTAAAACTGTTAAGTCATAGTTCATTCGGTTCTGTTTGGTTGTCTGTGTTTTGTGATGTGAAATAGTGTGCGTGTTATTTCATCTGTTTTTTGTTTTGTTTTTTTTTTTTAATAATCCTCCTATTTAATAATCCTAAACTATTTCCTTTACAGAGGAAATCTTTGCAATGTTCCTCATCTCAAGCTTTGCATCCACGAATCAATGCGACTGTACAGTCCTGTCCCGATTATATGTCGTTTATCGGACAAGGAATATGAAATTCAAGGAAGAACTCTTCCGTCAGGTACACGAATCAAGGCAAATAAGATCTAGAGTATCTCAAGAACAGTTTTGTCCAGGCAATATGTTCCAGCAATGAAAAAGTAAACCAAAGAAAAGATCGTGATGCGCTTGATGACCAAATTAAGTTCGAGCGCATTTTTTCAAAGAAACTAGATTGGATGCTTTTGTTGAAAAATTTAAAAACGGACAATTTGAAATCCGTAACTGAAATGATTGCATAACGCTTTAGGCAGATAGCAAAGACATAAGATGATTAATGATGGTTAATAATTTTACCGCAGGTACCTTTCTGTATGTCAATATCTTTGCTCTTCATCGTAACCCTCACATTTGGAAAAATCCAGAGGTATGTTTATATAAAAATTTAAGTGACATGCGTCACTCACAAATCACTCGGAACTACATGAGATATGAAACAACTATATAATAGATTAATGTTTTAAATGTATTTTTCAGATGGCCAAAAACTGATAAATGTCATGAGTTGCTATTAACGTTAGAAGGGCATGGCATTCTTTTTTTCTTTTTTTTGTTTTGAAGGTCAGTGGGGGAGAATTGGGTGAAAAAAAGGCAAAGCGTCTCTGCCAATGTCGCCTAAGTGTGTATTCTTTGGCTACAACAATTCCTTTTGTTTCCAACCATTGCTACATGTCAGTATATACTTCTCTCTTTACAAAAAACATCAGCATGTAGGGAATTGCCTTCGTCAATTGGTGATGATTTCAGTGGAATTAAACATGAAGTATCTTGTCATTGATTTTATCCTTAGGTTTTTGATCCTCTAAGGTTCACGGAAGAGAATATCCAAAAAAGGCCTTCACACGCTTTCATTCCATTTTCATCTGGAAGGAGGTAAAATCATATTTTTCAAAAAGCACAAATAAGGTTTTGCACATGGCAGGATTTTTTTTACTCCGATTTTATATCTAACACAGGTAAAATTATTCAATGATCGAAGTCCGTTATTCCTAAGTATCCATAGTTGCCTAAACTTGCCATTTCTTTTTTATTTTGTAACCTAACCACGCAAATATAAAACAAAATTGTATCATCATTCTGGGTGGGAAATTTTATTTCGCCGAGTGACTGCATCATGCAGTCTAACGATACAGTAAACTGAATTCGCACATTAGGTTAAATGAAACCTTTTTCCTATTTTAGTAGCAAAGAAGTGTTGCCAAAATTGTAACGTAGACATCTAAGTGTCCTAAGAACCCAATTTCCCAATTTCAGCCATTAATCTTATTTGAAATTGTTGTTCTAGAAACTGCATTGGACAGAATTTTGCAATGACGGAGATCAAGTCTACAATAGCTATGATATTGCATCGGTAAGACAGGTCTTTCATTGTTGAAATGAAAATTGAGATTATATTAGTTTTGCAGTCGTAACTTAGGTAGTGAGCTCTATAAAAGCATTGAAATGTGATTCTAGAAAGTTTTTTATGAATCCGTATCTTCGTTTATAATACTTTAGAGACTTCGTGACACCATACAGAATCAAAATTAATTTCAAACTTACCCGTTTGATTTACGTTTACACGTTACATGGAAATTACATTACCAATTTTTAATCAAGTGTTGAATCCTCATATCATACCAAATTGTATCTTTTGTATTTTCGGTATTTTAGGTTTGAGCTTACAGTCAGTAAAGATTCAATGGTGTCCATGGACGACCTTCTCACAGTGCTCGCATTACGTAGTAAAAATGGACTAAAAATCAACATTAACCCAAGAGACAACAATCATAATACACCAACAGTCTCTTTTGAACAAGCACACATAAAGTGCTAACCAGACAAAAAAGCGTATATTTGTAAAAAGCTAAGTACTCCCTCTAATTTCAACTACATTCACGAGAGTCCCCGTGGGATCAAAGCAATACTACACACCAAAACGTCTAATAAGCTATTTATTATCCCACTGCTTTTCTTTTCTGCTAGATGTTTCTGCTCATTTCTCATAAGGCAAGAAAAGCAAAGCGGATAGAGAAACGCGGCGTGCGCACTTGACCGGTTAAACAGGTTTTTTTTTTTTTTACCGTGCAAATAATCAACTGTACAATTCGCAGGATATTTGTACTCTCCTCGCGCGTTATTTGAATTTTTTTTAGATGCAGTTGGGTAATAAATAAGAATACAGTAAAGGGACATTCAGGGATTTTTTTTTCTTCATTTCAAAGGAGAAGTTCTAAATTTTAATTATCAGAAGTTAAGAATGTTCAGAACCTTACATCCTTTTTCAAAGCTCAACGGAGCAGGAATCAAAGCAAGAACAAAAATTTTTCAACTTCAAAGTAATCAAATGGTTACCTTTACTTATTTATTTTTGCAAAGCATACGTGCTGTAAGCGTGGAAAAGATATTCTACTTAAAATGGATATCACATGTAATGAATGCCGATATCTGACCTCACTCACTCAAAGCGTCTTTTTATCCGCTTTTGTTAATTTAGTCTCTTAAAGGGCCTGTAAACCCAAGAATACATGTTTTTATTATTCCATGTAAAAAGTGTCATAGAAAACGAATTTGCAATTAGTTTTGCCCAATTCGACTTATTTGAGGAGAAAATCGGCATTTTATACTGAAATTTCACTTCCGGTGAAAACAATAGATAGAGATGGTAACGTAAGCGGTGGAACTAAAAATATTGCGCAACACGGACTTCACAGTAGCATTGGTATGGCAGCTCGTTCAAGTAGCAGTAGTTTTGACGATGTTTTGTCAGAGGGAAGGGACTCGAATGCCTTAAACTTATATGACAGCGATGGGGATGACTCAGAACCTTTAGGAGAGTCTGGGCCACGTCCTTATCAACATGAGCCCGCGTAGAGTTCACCGAAACGATCCGCACGAAGACAACACATAGCGATGCAGATCGTCTCGGAAACACAGACTGGTATTCATTGTGTAATTTATTTGTTTTTGACCTGAAAACTTAATAAAGCAAGTTTCCAATCCAAAAGAATGCGACAGAAGTTTTTTAACTTGAGCGTCCGTGGGTGTTTTATATAAAATTGTCAAAGGTGCGAGTGTGGAACTTGTCAGCCAATGCCGACAACACATGAAAGTGTCGGTTGTGCGGAAATCGGGCAAGTGTGGCAAAAGGTGGAGGAACAAAGGCCTGAAACCCAAATGACTTGTATTACTGAGTATCCAGGTTTTCAATCAACCTGCCTCGATGTCTGGGTGCTGGAGACGGCCTATTACGCGTACAGGCAGCAATACGGTGCAGATAATCACACCCAAAACGAGTAAGCGAAATTTTTTATTTTAATCTGTTTTTTAGATCGATTTGCTGGAGTTATTTGTGCTATTGATTAAATAACACAGTGCTAGAGCTAGTTATTTTGCTCGCTCCTGGGAGGAAATTTCGCTGCATTGCCTACAGACTAGATGGCAGAGCGACCCTGACATTTTTGCCTAGATAACCCCAGCACCAGCGAGCCAGCTGCGGTAAATAAAATCCGAAACACTTTTCCAGCTGATTTTGGAACTTCTTACACTGGATTAAAATCGACAAACCTTTGACAGAAACAAAGGTACATGTAAATGCAGATCATCATTATTCATGTCCTACAGCACTAGCGGTTGGTGCCTGTTCGATAGGAAATATTTACAGTGCTTTCCTTCATCTCCGAAGTATTATTGATAAACAAGTTGTAACGTAATTATTTGCGAGGGTGGTCCTGTATATATATAATTATCGAACCTTTTTGTGTTTGCTTCGATTGGAAATATAGAGAGATAGTTTCGCTAGCTGATCTCTGGATCTTTTAATTTCTATTCAAAGTAAAAAAATGTTTCTCTAATGTCCTTTGATTACAAATTCACCGCTGTGTAAGCCGTGACACAAATTCTCTAACTGCTACTTCTTTGCAGGGTTTCTCAAAGAAAGCAGCAAGCGGGGCTGGCAAAGATTCTCTACGAAGATTTTTTTTGACAGAGTTTTGTCTCTCCCACACTCGCCGTAGGTGTTTGTGGAATATTTAACCAACTAAATTCCAGATCGCATTGTATACCGACATCAACGAACTCTTTCTTTATACGTGTTTCGGTTTCCGGCAAAGGTTCAAACAGGTCAGTGTCTTTTTTGGGCTCATCACTAGCTCCCTAACAACTGGTTTCCCCATAATCTTTTAACAGCTGAGAAAGAAAGGTGTTTTAAGAGAACCTAAAATCTGGAGGTTTCCTCGTAAATCAGTTCGGTACGCACCCTGTTAACTTCCAACTTTTGAAGAGCTCTACTTCTCCTCGGTCGTTTCTCAGTACGGTCAGTCACCTCTGGATCTTCGCTGTCTGCTGAATACAAAGGTCGCTTATTTACCTCGGAAGAATTTTTTTCTGGTAGGGCCTGAATCGTCAGCGCAGCAACAGGAAGAAGTAGCTTTTGCTAGCTTTTAAAGACCCATTTCGACCATATAGCTTTTCCCATAGCAATCGGGAGACAAATGACTGCCACAGACAACAGAATGTTTGGACCGCTGGTCAAAATCGGCTCTTTTAACTTGAACAAATTTAACCCATTGTCGCTTCAAATTTGCTTCTTTTGGAAATTTATGCATTGTATGCCCAGTTTTGTTTGAATTACTACAAAACTGGACGACACAATGCTTTACCATTACGAAAAATTTTAATATAATCAACCAAATTATAAGTAAAAAAGTCGTGACTAGACCGGCAAACAGGGGCTGCGAAGGAGACTTGCACATATCTCACGCGATCGTAAAAGTAAGCTTTTGACTTCATTACAGGAGGGTTCTACCCGTGACGTCACAGGAAAGATGGCGCAATTCAAGATGGTGAATGTTTCGAATTTGGAAGAGCTTTCTCAGGGTGAAAATGGACTTTTGAGAAAAAAACGAATTGCACATTTGAAGTACTTTATATATTTGCTAAACAGCAATGTGAAAAGAAAATGTACGATTTTTGGGTTTACAGGCCCTTTAAGACGGGTGACTGTCAATGCCCCGCACGACACAGGGATCCCCAAAAATCCATATTAGGTCACAGCATTTAATAATAATAATAATAATAATAACAATAATAATAATAATATATTTATAGAACGCTTTAACTATTGGTCAATATTCAAAAGCGCTGTACAATAAGAATATCATCAAATAGACCAAAAGTCACAATTTAAAAGCCTTTTTAAAAAGAAAAGTCTTCAGTCTTTTTTTAAACACAGAAATACTGCTACTAGATCTAATAGCCAGCGTAAAGAGTTCCATAGAACCGGTGCAGCGTGGGTGAAAACGCGACCCCCAAATGTAGAGCAGTTGACTCTGGGAACTGACAGAAGAAACTGTGAGGACAAAGAGAATAGTTGGATTCGGTTCTCAGAGACAGAAGATCGTTAATATAATCTAGAGCTTGGTCATGTAAGGACTTATAGACAATTAGAAGCAGTTTGAACTGGACTCGCAACTCTAAGGGGAGCCAGTGTAGGTCAGCAAGAGCACAGGCGTTATGTGGTCGAACTTAGACAATTGAAAAACAACTCTAGCTGCTGCGTTTTGGACTTTCTGAAGGCGATCGAGTTGATATTTAGGTTGGCCAAAGAGAAGGGCATTGCAGTATTCAAGGTGAGAGGATACAAATGCATGACCAATGTTTTTGTCGTGTTAACATTGAGGAATTTCCTAATCTGTCTTATTTTATACAGACCGTGAAAAGCTTTACTACAGGTCTTGCCTATATGTATATTTATACGCATTTGGGCATCGAACCATGATCCAAGATTTGAGGAAGGAAAAGAAATATTTAAATTTATATTTGTACACCAGATAAGCTTGCCTAAAAAGTAAAAGCTTACGGCCAGACCTCTAGCCTTGATCACATAGTGCAATTTCCTGAGATGGCTCATTTAACTAGACTGGTGTTTCAGTCCAGTTCAATTAATGATATTTGAACTTACCCTTGTTCCTAACTGGACCATGTTCTGTTCCATATGTGCGTTACGAGAATCTCGATAGCCATTTTACGGGTAACAGTTATTTGACGCTTTATTGTATGACACATTGCAGATAGTAAAATTGAACTTTTACGGTTGACATGAATAGCATAACGACCGAAAGTTAAAATTTGTCAATTGTTACGCCTAACGTTCAAGCCCACTGAAACTCCGATCAGCGCAAGACACGACTAGAAACGAATGACTGAGCGTTTTCAAAATATCATCAACCCAATCACTTGTTGAAACAGTTTAAGTGTTTATTAAATTACATGGCATTCCTTGTCTTGATCTATGAACAAAAGTTTACTTCTGTCGAAAGGCTGATAGTTTCGAAAGAAACTGTTTGGGGTTGCGTCGGTGGGAGTAACGAAATAATTTGGATATATCAACAAAGTTGAAGTGGTAAATTGGCCACCGTAACGATTACAAAAGCTGACGTTTCGAGCGTTAGCCCTTCGCCGGAGCGAAAGATGAAGGGCTAACGCTCCGACGAAGGGCTAACGCTCGAAACGTCAGCTTTTGTAATCGTTACGGTGGCCAATTTACCACTTCAACTTTGTTGATATATCCAATTTACTTCTGTCGCTTTTATTCAATATGAGTTTACACTTAATTTGTGGACCCTGTGTGGTTTGTTAGTTCAGATCAGTTCAACTAATTATTTACCAGCGACCAGTAGTCAAACCTTTTGCTCTCTAGGAATGAAATTTCACAGTTTCACTATCTCGAAGTCTCCAAACATGGTCACAAGCACCAAAATTCCTGGGTTATTCCGAACGCGGAAAAATTCCAATTGAAAAAAGCCTTGACTCTTTTTGGGTCATTTTTTCTTTTATGGAGTGAAAAATATCCATGAATCATCACCATTTTTACACCTTCACGAATAAATTGTGGATCGTGACATCATAAGTCATTCCCCATGCGTGTTGTTGACAAATGTGCTGCAGTATTGAAGGTAATCTCGTATCAGTCATCGCTCACGAAAAAAATCATATGACTACCACCTTATTATAAAACCTTGATGTCAGTTTGTCAGGTGGCGACATTTTTACACTTTTATCATTAGACTCTCGGTATGTCCAAATTATAAAGACTTCATTAGAAATGAATTACAATTTTTTTTTTTACTCGAAGACTGAGCGCTCAGCTTGCAATTCCTTGTGTTCTATTTACGTGCTAAAATAACATCTAAATGTAATAGAGCAAATCAACCTTGCATTTGCACAAAAAGTCAGAGTTTTTGAATGGGAGTGCATTGTAAATCTGCCACTGTAGATATAAAACGTCATTCGATTACTTTCTCAGCAGAGTCGTAACCTGCCTTTTAGATGTTTTTTTAGTTTTCGCGACGGCTGACACGACGACACCTCATCGAAGCGTTTGCCGAGTAATCATAATCAGTAATCCTCGAAAACTTTAGTGGAAAATGAATATTATGCAGTACTCAAAACATTTTCTTTTAATCTATCGTTATCATAAACAAACGTAAACGCGAACCAAAAAAAATTGTGCATCTGCTCCACCTGTTACCAAGAAAATTGAAATCTGTTCATTTTAGTTTCTAAGGACTGAGAAGCACGCACATTGATGTGTACAATCGTGAGACCTCAGTTTCGTGAGGAAAGCCGTGGTTAAAAAGGCGCCTTTTAGCGAGGTCGAAGTCACTGTCTTTAAGTAAGGGCGCATGGGCGTCACTTGAAAAACAGTTTCCTTGCGATGCGGTTCTAGCATAGCTAATTACTTTAACTAGGCATTAATGTTTCCTTTACGCTTGGAAAAAAAAAAGCTCTACAATATTACTTTATTGTAAGGCTTGAACAAAAAGCAACTTATTAAAATGCCAAGTTCTTTTTTAAAGCACAGAGCACTTACTCTCCTGCGTCTGTGGAGTTTCTTCGGTCGATTCTTGTGTTATGTCGGCCCCACCGCTCCATTTAAACAGCTTCTTGTATTCGTCTCGGAAGGTCTTGTTCATGACGCCATAAACGACAGGATTTATCACCGTACTCAACTGACCCAAAAATGTGTACATCACGTACACCTCACGAGGAAGGTTCCAGCCTCCTTGTCCAAACCCTATGAAATCTACAATGGAAATCGGTGTCCAACAAATAAAGAAGGCGCAAACTGTAAGAAACAAAGTTTTTGTCACGTTTATCTCCTCAACAGAGATCCTTGCGGCGGTTGGCCGGTCTCCTCGGCGACGCAGACTATGGAACCGTTTATTATGCTCTTTCAAAGCTTTGAAAACGTTGTAATAACAGAACGAAAGCACCAACGAGGGGATGACAACGAACACGTACCCAAGCAAAGTAAAAAAGTCGACTTCGACGACTTGAAAACAAAAGAACTTCCCCGCATGGTACACGTAACGATGGTTGGAAGCAAGATAAGGTACCGGGGCGAGGAGAGACACAAGCCAAATAAAAGCAATCATGATACGAGTATTCCTTGTGCTGAAAATCTTCTGGTAGTTCTTCGGACGGACGATTAGAAAGTACCGATTTACAGCGACCACGGTTAGCGTTAAGAGTGACACGCAAGACAGCATGGCTATGACATATCCTTGAAGCTGGCAGACAAAATTTCCGTACGTCCGTTTCCCTGCAGCGAGGACCGTGAAGCAAGGCGGCTGGCAAATGGCTGCCATTCCGACGTCGGCGAAAGCAAGGGAAACGATAAAATGGTTTGGAATTGTTCGGAGATTTTTGTTCTTCCACACCATCCACAAGACTAAGATATTCCCTAGCAGAGCTGTGAGAAGTAAGACGGCGCAAATAAGCGCTTCTATCACCACAACTCCTGTCTGTCTATCGGCAAGGAGTACTTCGTACTTCTCAAGCGACGGATGAACGGCCCCGTTTTGAGACATTTAAAAGGCTGGGTACTGTTTTTCAACTCAATCCCAAAACTACGAACGGGAACCTCAAAGGTTTGTTCGGGCCAAAGAAGGATAGAAAGTGAAACAACTGTGAGAGATGAAAGAGGCGTATTTTTTGGCTTCAGATCTACAGTAACTCTTTTGTTTTTGAAAACGAACCCAAACGCGATATCTAGAAGGCTGCTTTATGCTGTCGCTCTGAAAACAGATGGCCAATTAATGGCAATTACTTTACGTCTTGTTTATCTTAAAGAGTTATCATTTTGGACAATGCTATCGGTTGAAAGTATTATGTTCTGTCAAAAAAAACATTTTTCCTTTTAACCACAACTGTCATTGTGATCTATTGTGCTTTAGAAGGGCAGGTGTCTGTTCATGGCAGCAATACAATTATACACTCTACGTTCTCTTCATTTATTTCAAACTTAAAAAATATAAGCCTGTAAAATTATTTTGTATCTGATCATCACAGTACATTAGATTAAGAAAGCGTTTCAAGAAAAAAAAAAAAAGATAAAGACCATAAAGTAATGAGGAACTGCGTTTCGAAGTACGGAAATTAGATGCGGTGGGAAGTGTTCTTTTTGATAAAGATTCAGTGCATCATAAAGTCATGAATTTACTAAAGGATCGGGTTACTCATTTATGCTTGCTGATGAGTGTACTTTCTATCAAACAACCCTTGCAAATACAGACTTTGAGTGTTCGCGGTGTCGTGATGGGCTGTTGACATTTTTCTCCGCTCTTTTGGTTTCAAAGCGCTACCCCGCCCATACATTTGTCACCTCGTGAAATATTTGCAATGTACAATGTAGGACTAACTAAAACTCTGTTTTAAATGCTACATTATGGTTATTTCGCCTAAGGAAGTCTTAAAGGTAAATCTCCGCTTTTTGTTTTAGTCGGCTTAAAAAACGTATTGATTTACACCGCCAGCGGTGTGTCACATGTTTTAAAAGGAGCTTTCAAGTTATAAGTGCCAGGAAAACAATTAACGTACATTAAAGCTTATGAATAGATATGACACGCAAAATCAAATCGAAAAAAGACCCAGAAAATTCGATTTAATACAACAAAGTGCACAGTGTACGAGTACCTTGACAGAATCATAAAAAGTAATATTGCGCTTATTCCTTACGAAGATACCTTGGTTGAAATGTTGTTTACAATGACCAAGATCCTCTTATTTCAAGGACGATTATTATTTTTATATAGGTTTTCCTTTTCAATAAAAGGCGGGGAAAAATTGTTAATTTTCTTATAAGGATAAACTGAAAAAAGACTGATGATTTTGAAAAGAATATTCTGTACAATTACCAAAAACACCTCTTCAATGATCAATGCTGGCAGATGCAAATGACATCGTTTTGTATATGTTTCTTAAATGAAGCTTTCAAACGTATTTTAATTGGAAAATGATAGGAGAGATCTTGGAAAGGTCATAAACAAAGAATGACTGGCTTCGAAACCTTTCATTCCAATTCGTTTTCTGTATAACTATTTTCTATTGCTCCAGATTAGTACAAGTCCTTAATTTTTATCTTACATTTTAGATGATCTGTTTTTAAAATTTCTTAGCTTATTATCGTTATGGAAAGTGTACAAAAGATGTGTTTGCCTTTCGTTAGAGTGATGTTAAAGGGCAGGTGAACATTGCACGGTAAGAAACGTCTTTTAGGCTTATTTTTCAACGTCCTTCCAACCATTCTAGATCCCCTGCAGACTCTTACAGCTATCCTATTAGAGATGAATAAAGGCTGATAGTTTCTAAAGAAACTGTTTGGGGCTGCGTCGGTGGTATCCTATTAGAGATCTGTGGTGAACATATTTTAAAACCTTTATAAGATCATTTCAAAGGGCTCTTGAAAAAATTAACAGGAAAATCATATCATGAATTGAATGATGACAATATCAGTCTGTAAACCATATATGGAAAAAATATGGTTTGGCTAAGAATTTCATCTTAATTGTTTGAAAACATTTCTAAAAAGTAATAGTTTTGTAATTATAAACGGGAAGTAAGAGTGGAAATAGATCCTGAAACCATAACTATTAATCACCCACCAGATTAATTAAAAATATTTCATAAACCACCTGACTCCCCTTTTTTTCTTTGGACGTTCAAATCCGGAAAAATGTTAATAGTATAAGCTGGGTTGTTATGAAAGAAAACTGTGTTTGCATTTCTTGCTGATTCAATAAGATGTCTTTCGGTGACTTATTTATTTCGGCAGATCTGACATGTATATATAGAATCCGTTTTCATCAAGATTTAACATATCTTGCCGCAAGTTTGTCGCGTACATATATTATGCTGGTATAAAATGGAACTCTAACAATTACATGTTGAGAAAATTTGGATTACTTGGTCCTAAACGTGTGACGTCATAAGTGCTTTTGATAAACCCGCTGAATTCAGTGAGAGGTAATGCAGACGATTCTACATAGCCTGGCTTATTAAATACTGTTTCAGTAAAGTCTCACCACGATTAAATTAGTCCATATATGTAAATTGAATGGTAATATTTGACCACCCTACACCTTCATAGAAGCAATGCTGCTGTAGTTCGCTTCGTCGTACGCTTATATAAACATATGGCAGACATCTTCTAAATATATGGCAGATATCTTCTAAAAATAAGGCAGATATCTTCTAAACATAAGGCAGATATCTTCTAAACATAAGGCAGATATCTTCTAAACATAAGGCAGATATCTTCTAAACATAATCTGTCATGAGGCTGCTGAGGGTGTGGTGAGCATATACTGAGAAGTAATAGAGCTGATACACTCAACATAACTGCAATCAGATTCCTTAGTTATACAAGAACTTGCGGAAGGAACTGCGAAAACATGATTGGTTTAAAGGATATGAGCGAAGCACACAACACATGGACAGTTCTTGGAGTCCTCAGTGGTTAGCAAAATGCAACTTCTCAATCTAGCACACGTGCGAAGCCGGAAGTCGAGCACAAGGAGCCGGATTTTATGCACAGCTGAAATTTAGCGACCATTAGGTTTTCAAATTAACTTTTTGTGCATGGTTGCTTTTCGACTTTTCGATTTCGAACCTTTGACACATTGTACTCAGTAGGCAAGTGAAAACGGCACTGTCATTCGCGATCGGTAAGTTTTACTTTTTCCTTTTTCGTGTCGAATTCTTAATTGGTCTTAATATTCTGTAGTTGTCATTGGGGGCCTTGATCGAGTCCTGAATAGACCTGTTGTTGTAAATTTTACGTTACTGATGAATGATGGAATACACTCAGACAATGCTGAACAATTTTTAAAGCCCCTTTTCTACTATTTCTACTATCGATACAAGTATAGAAAGCCTCAAAAGTGGTTCGTATGCGAAATAATTTTGCCGGAAAACGATGGTTTGATAAACGTGTTTTCTGAAACTACGTTCAATTGAGAGTGACCCGATCAATCGCGTTTCCCCCTCCCCACCCCCCCCCTTAGGATCGTTAGTGACCGCGTTCGCGTCCTATCGGGACCGAGTGAGCTAAGGAAATGCAATTGGAAAATAATCATGCAAGTCCGTAAACGATCAATGATTTCCTCTCCCCTCCTCCCCTCCTGGACCATCTGGAGCCCAGACGAGGAAAGAACAGAAAAAGAAAGCAGTGTAGATCATTTAGAAAAACTTTAATATTAATATAATATCATGCCTTTTATTACAACATCTTTATTTATACTCACAATTTAACTTATAAATAAAGACTACCTGCAAAATAGCGAAGCTAATCGAGGCAGGCAGTATGAGAAACGTGTCAATTACATATTAATATAATATTATTCTAATGACAAAAAATAAATAACAATTACAAAGGTACAGATGTCAATTACAAAAGTGAATACAAAAATATAGATATTCTAATTACGAAGCCACGAGCGCATAATTAAAAACAGGAAAAGCTCAAAATATAAAATGCTCTTTATTTTAACGAAATCTAGTTTTTGTTATTTCGTCTATTAATATGTCAATATCAGGATAAGAATCCTGGTTTAAAAGGATTTGAAGTAAGGATTTGGTTATATTTTTTCTTGAAACTATATTTTGGGAGCTGTCTCAAAACATCAGGAATACAGTTCCAAATTTTTGCGCCCATAGAGGAAAAAGAGTTCTTATAGTGATTTAGCGGAGGGGCAATTACATTAGCAAAATAAGCATCTCATATCAAAAATATCAAGCTATAAATAGCAAATATATATTACAGCTACTAATTCATCTTTTAACTTAAGAATCGTTCAAATTAATCCATGGTTTTCCATAATCTATCTAGATTCATTTCAATTACATTTAATTACATTCATTTAATCTTATCAATTACGCTTGCTAATTAAGCGTTTGAATAAAAATGCCAATGAACTCCACGTGTAAAATTTTTTCAACAGAGCTCCAGAGGAGGGCCATGTTTATCATCCTTCAAGTATTCTTTATAGGGCGCGGAACAAAACGCAAACACTCAGCTTACGTAGGTGGACTCTTCAGAGCGACTTTCTGTCACAAGCAGAATTTTTCCTTCTTTTTCCGTGACTGCCAGAAAAAAGTCTTCAAAAATATTGCATCTAGTGCAAAAGTGAGTTCTCAAATATCTCATAGGGAATATATACAGGTACATTTAATCTACTTCAGCTGAGGTTTATCGATCTGTCGCTCGACGCGTTCAAACCAATCGCGCGCTACTACTCGATGAAATTAAGATAATTCAGTCTAAATTCATGTCATACTTCATACCAATTGATATAACTCATTTCGAAAAGGGTTTGAGTGATGAGAAACTCAACTCAACATCTCATCTTAAAGTAAGTTGCCACGTGAGAGTTGCTTGTTAGTCCTATGACACCTTGTGCATCTGCCATCAGGAATTTTCCTGCTGTCTTGGATTGAAAAGTAATATAGTTCTTGGAAGCACTAGCCACGTAGAACACGTGCGAATTTTTAACAGATGACGAATTCTTGACAAAAGAAGAAAAAAACAAAGGTCAATTAGAACCAGTAGTTGACGAACTTGAATTCGAACTTATTGACGTTTATAAAACAATGGTGGTGTTCTTTCATTTACATAATCAGTAACTCGATATTTTTCGTTGTCCATGGAAAATCTTTTCCATGCATGGTCATTCTCTTAGTTCCTGAATTAAAGCGTATGGCGTGGAAAGAAAAACCATAATCGTGCATACAGGGAGTAATTTTCTAAAGAAACTGTGGCACTGCGTTGGTGGGGGAGTATAACAAGATGATTTGATTTTATCAAATGATTTCATTTTGTAAATTGACCATGGAAAAGATTTTCTTAAGTTGACGTTTTGAGCGTTATCCCTTCGTTGTTCGCTCTGATGAAGGGCTAACGCTTGAAACAACAGCTGGAGAAACTCTTAACGATGGTCAACATACATTATCAATTCAGTTGATAAAACCAGTTTATCCATCTGACAAGAAAATAGCTGCAATTCCCCACAAAAGCAACATGTACAAGAATAAGAACAAAAATGACTAAACACAAACAAAATTCAGCAAAACATAGATGAGGAATACTTGGAAATGAGGTATTATAAACCAATTACTCAACAGTCTATTACGTTCATTTAAAGCTCTAGTGACAGGTGATGACTTCCGGATAATTACCTTCAACAATGACTTCTTACCTCTAACAACACCTTTCCTGACTGCTCCGTTAAAATGAAGGTACGATTAGAATTCCATCGTATAGTATATCTTAGTTTGCCAAGAGCCCTATCCACTTTTCGCGTGAAGAAGAAGGCTGTTTGTGAGTACAACAAATAAAAAAGGAACCAGTCAGTCGGCCAGTGCGTTCAGGTGGTATTCATCTATACCAGTTTTATCGAGTTGTCAATGATAATCAAAAATATTTTACAATCCAGTTGTTTGTTAACCTCACGTTGGAATGACCAGGTGGATATCCTATTACTATTGTTATTATTATTATTAACACTATTATCATTATTGATATAATTAATATTATTACATCTGAGCCACAAGTATTGTATTTGGCAAATCGTTATTGACACGGATGTATTTTTTTGTATAGTGCTTAATTCTTATTTTTTCTTAAATATTTCTGTAATTTATGTACATATTTTTAAAGTTTAATAAAATATTATTTTATTATTATCATTATTATTATTATTATTATTATTATTGTTATTATTATCTGAATATTGTGAATTACATAACAGAGACACATGAATCCGGCACTATTACTAAAAGATAGCTATAATTCCCATTAATATTATTACTATTGTCATTATTATTAGAATCATTATACAGATCGTTTTATTTTATTGAATTTTTTTCTGTATTTGTTGTGGTTGTATCATATATTATTGCGATGACTATTATCATTGTCATCATTAGTATTTTTATGGCAACCTTTAACGTCAGAAATTGTTACAATCTGTGAAAAAGTAATCTGGCAATCAACTGTTAAAAATTTTCAAGGAGACAAACGAGATGATGGGATACTATCGATTTAGCAAAGAGTTAAAATAAATAAAGAAGGAAAATTCTGGTCCGAGATAATGACAATGACCGACAAAGAAGACAGCCATCATGGAATATGTCAGGCTCGCTTGATGCTTTAGAGTCATCGCCCTGTGTTTGTATCATCATTTACAAGATATAAGTTAAAGGAAATTCTATATACGCTACCAGTGGAACTCGCCCTGCCCGACTGTGCTGTGAATGACAGATTTACTTCGCCAGCAAGTGTTATTTCTGCTTTCATGTAGGCTGCCGCTGGTATTTCCCACCTTAGTTTTGAACGCAGTTCACATGTTGAGTTGTGCCAACTAATTTGAGAAATGGATTGGTTTCTGGCTGAAATCCAAAGCATCCCTGCAGCGATGAAAAGCCTCTAAAAGAAATTGAAAGAATGTGTTTAAATTCAACGAGGAAATTCAAGTACATAATTTGGTATTCAAGCACTGCCGAGTTGTAAGAGGGGGGTGGGGAAAGGGTTTATATGTGACGCTTGACTATGCCTAATAGTGATAGTAATAGTTTAAAAGTTTCTATAACTAGGATACTTGAATTGTACAGAAAGGGAAAGCAAAGGGAAATTTAAATTTTTCCCTCTTAAATTTGCAAAGCGTGATAAACTTCATAACGTACACGAAAAGCGTGAATTATTCTAAAATTCATGGGTAATATGCAGCAATGAATAAATCTTAGGACTCGGTTAGACAAATATGACCTTTCTTTCCCCTCATCTCATTGGCTGCCAAGAATTTGGCTCAACATTTCTCTATATATTTATTTATCTTATCTTTTACTTTTAAAACTTTAAATAATTTATGCCCTAGTTATATCAGTGACTTGTTAGAAACGTATAAGCCTACTAGATCTTTACGATCATCGAGTAGGAACTTGTTAGTGATTCCTCGCTCCAAGATGAAATCTTATGGCGATCGCACCTTTTCTGTCTCTGCACCTAAGTTGTCGAATGACATTCCTGAAACCATAAAATGTAGTATAGATCTTAACACTTTTAAGCGTAATCTTAAAAGTTATCTTTTTAAGCGTTATTTTAATGAATGATCTTGTTTGATTATTATTTTTACTTTTTACCTTGATTGTGAAGCGCCTTGGAGCTTTTGGATAGGGCGCTATATAAATTATCATTTATTTATTTTATTTATATCAAGTGATCAGGTCATCTAAGAAGAATAATACAAAAGCAAATAAACAACAACAACAACAAATGGCAAACAAATTTCAGAAGTTGTAGAAAATTGGAACAGAATTACCATATTTTCTCCATTAAACGCCCCCGGGCGTTTATTTAAAACTTGGCCTCAGGAACCCTTCGTTTATTTGAAGCCGGCGTTTAATTGGGTTCCGGCGTTTATTAATGAAGTAAAATTTTCATCATTTTTAGGTTGATATATTATTTCACATTCTTTGAGATCCGTGCGCAGTTTGTCAAGGCAGGACGATTTCTTCCTTGGACCCGACCTGACATAATGTCCCTGTATCTCATACTGACAGGAACGTGAACATTGCTATATATTTTCAATTTTTTTTTGTTGTACAGCATGTACATCGCAGTTAATGTTACGCCAGACTTGTTCGTTAAGCATCTATTAAAATAACAAAAGCAGTATACCGTACAGTACGTATCAGAGCAGCGCTTTCCTAGCTTTCCTTTTCCTAGGAATATCTGTACTTGTTGGCTCGACACAAACAAACGCCGGGACCTCGAACAAACGCCCCAGGTGTTTATTTAAAAATTAGCAGTTTTGACCCGGCGTTTAAAAGAGGCCGGCGTTTAATAGGGGTCCGGCGTTTAATCGAGAAAATACGGCAGTTCTCAGAGTTCAAAATTTGTTTCAATTGTTTCAAAAATTGGGATATCTATTTTTGTAGCTTTGACCCTTTCACCCGGGTACCCAGCAGAAGGAGGGAGGCTGCTCAACTGAAAGTTGATGAAATGCAATAAATCATCATATCTTGTCATGTGATCATGCAGACTATTGGTCTCTTTCAATCCCTGTACACGAAAGAAATCGAAAATGAAAAACAAAACAAAACAAAACATTTTAATGTCTACTGGACTCCCTTGGCCAACATGACATCTTCAGTGCAACGTCTGAAGCTAGTTTGACCTCATGAGATTTTTGCAATATTAGGTTAACTAAAGCTGTCAAAAGCAAGTCAATTTGAATGTCGAAAAGCGATATCTCCTGAAATTTTCAAATACACCCATTGTTTATGACAACTCAAAAGACGAACTTTAACCCCTAAATTTGATTGTAAGTGCTTGGGTTAGAGGACATTCGGCTTAAGATTTTTTTTGAATGATAAGGCTATCCCGTTTGCTTTTATGTAATCTCTTGATTGGCAAGGAAACGATAAGGGAAATAGATAACCGGACTGAAGAACTACTGCCAATTGAGGTTGATGTCTAACACGTGCCAACACGCTTAGACGTGGGTAGCAACCAAAAGGCGTAAACACACCCTACTTTACCCCGAAACGAAACTTGGATATTTTAGGGCTGGACACTATTTACCCATTCTCTTAATCAGGAAAATTCAAGTTGAATGCCACTCGTATAAATTGATAAAATACTTTCACGTTTTTCATGCAATGATACACACCCTGGCGAATGGCTTTCGTCACTTTTTGGGATACAATGCCTATCGAATCAAAACTGATTTCCCTTCAACCCTCTTGAAAAAATGAAAAATGAAAGAATAACAAGAAACATAAATGCAAAAGGCATTGATTGATGTAAAGATCATTTTGTCAACACGCCATAACGACGAATGAAAAGGTCTAAGTCTGAGAACTCACTAAAAAATTAAACAAAGCGAGTGACACCCGATACGGCAGAGGTTCATGAGAAATAGTAAACAAGTTTAGGCCAAAAATAGCTTCGATATCTAGAATGTATTATCGCTAATTAAGAGCTACAAGTCTGTCGTAAAGCGTGTTAAATTCAATACAGAAGGTGACGAGTTTTCGAATAATCATGCAACCAGAACAGCACATGAAAACAAGATTTCACACACATGATTTTTTATCAAGAAAATAAAGGTTATGCAGACATACACGCTGGTAGACATCCAAACAGGATCTCATGCAGATGACTGTTGCTAGTTTGTTACTGTACAATTGAACTGCAAATCACCAGACAACATGTGACTAGTGTTTGACAGAGTGGTATTCATTTGAAAGGAAATTGAAAATGTCTTCATGTGGAATGACACGCCAGAATTAGCACCTTGTTTTACTCGTCCCAAAAAAGCGGAAAAAACAAATCCTTCATCGACTTCCTCAACGCGTCCGATGCCTCGAGGAAGCTTTAGGATTTAAACCCTTTTTCACTCTTTTCGTCCTTCATTTTATAAAATGACAACTAAGTAAAGCGCTATTGTCTATAGGACTGAAGGGTTTTATTTAAAAAGCAATGAGATGAAACTAAACGAAAATGAATGTTTTCTGAGGAGAAATGTAGCTCATCATGTCAACCCCAAGATCTCAGCTCAACCAGGTGGGGATAATTCTCTTAACGTTTTCAAATTGTTGCCGCCTTTTTTATGAGAATCACACGAAATTGTCGTCCCAAGGGCAATAAATAGAGTGGGCAAAATAGAATGAATTAAACTGGTCATTTAAGTAGTCTAGAATCAATGCCCCGAATTTTTAATCAAAGGACTCGATCATTTAACTGAGAAACTTTTAAGGGATAAAAACTTTGTTGTGGCGGAAAAAATGACCACAGCAGGTCGCTTGAAATGACTGCTTCAAAGTAGATCTAAAAAAAAAAACAGTTAACCTCAAGGTATTCTATTAATTGATTGGTCATGGTTAAGTAAAATGAAATCGCAACGCTTGACACAAAGCTTCGTTTTTTAAAGAATTCTTTGACTTTGTAACTTCGACTGAATCGGTGGACCCGAATATTTACGAACGTTATTGTGGCAGCGGTTCCGTCCGAATGAACAGAGGTTGTTCGATCTAAAATAAACCAGTGACATAACTCTGAACTACCCTTTTGATTTATAAAAACAGTGGTATACCGCTCTTTAAATGTTAAATTCGAGATGACGTAGAAATTTCCATCAGCAAGTGATTAAGGTAAGTCTACTAATCTTGTTAAAGGTACGTACCAACAATCTCTTCGCCATGTTCAAAGTCACTTTAGATATTTGGAGTATCCTCCGACAGAGTACCAAAGGAGTGGAAAGGTAACAAGTTTTCATGCCATGTATTTCAAATTCAAACTCCTTTATACTTGAATGATCAGTGTAGTGGACACACTTGTCGGAAATACTAATGGAAATTTAATTACTGCGACGTGTCCCGCGGTTGTGTTTCCCTTCGCGGGAAAGCACGCAGACCAAAAAGGATCGTCGAAGAGTGGGTTCTTCGAGTATATCTCAGTCCTTCTGTGCTCCAACAAGAATGATTATGTACAATATAAACAGTGCAGATCATTTTAACCACATGTAATGGACCGCTTGGATTTTAACAGAACACTAAAATGTAGTGGTAGGTCAAATCTGCGTTCTTCCTCTATCGATTTTGCTCACTGGAAAATCGAGGAGGCGTATCGAACTTCGTTTCAAACCATTGCTTATCTTTTGAAAGAAAAAACATGTACTAATATTTCAGGAAAGGTTTAAGGAGATCCTTTCCTTAGCATTAATTGCACGTGCTATGCTCGCATTCTCCTTGGCATGGGGTGGGCGCACCTCAGCAGGTTTGGTTGGAGGTGCCGACAATTTCTTGTACTTGTGGCCCTTCCTCAGACCAAAAAAACGCCGTTATCCGCTCTGCTGGCTTGTAGACGTAGCCTCCAAGCATGCGCCTTTGAAACGTAACTCGCAGATATTGATTGATTTGATGAAAAATTGCGGCGTTTTTAGATGTATGTAGAACCATCATAGCGGGTCCTTCAACCCCTACTGTTTTTAAATTTGTGCAAGGAGGCCTTAGTTTGTTTTTGGTCACTTCCTGACCGAGAAGCATTATGGACAAAACTGATAACTTAGACCCTTAAACCTTCATAATACTTTCAAACTTACATACTGCATTATTGACAAACCCTTTTTCGGAAGGGTTGATATAAACGGCTTTCGTCACGATATATCTGCTATCGGCGTGAAAAAGGATTTAACAGAGCCTCATAGTTAATTAACCGGGTAAATGCGGCATGAACCAAAGTCAAAATGCCGAAGATTTCACAAATATCAATACATTCTACGTGCTTATATGCAACTCTTCAATTTGATTCATAATAAACCTGAGGAGAAAATAGCGTGTTAGTGAATAATGCGGCCTACACATGAAAAGCTGTCACTCAATAAGCCTAGAATAATAATGAAACAGTGGGAATATTCCACTCCC